ATGCATATTGTCAATCAAAGGTCCTGTTATTTGCTTACTCATGCAAATTAGGCAATTGGACATAAACATTGCCACGTGTGAGTGTTTTTTTTATTTTTAACCAGAAAATAAACAACAATTTTAATGGTGTTCCAATAAGAATTCATTGGTCAAATTTTCACAGAATGTTCTTTAGATAAAAATCTATATAAAAAACGAAAAAAACTATTTTTGATTAAAATTCACAAACAAACTGCATCTCTACCTTAATGCAATCACCTGTTCTTTGATCGTTGTTCATAAAGTTAGGTAGGCTTTTATAAGTATCCTTAGGCAGCTTGGTATTGCCTTGTGTACTACTGTAGAATACTTTGTTAGCTGGAATAATATTCGCTGAAAAGACTTTTTGGATGTTTTGTATGGAATTTATTTTCACTGATTTTTGACAAGTTGAATGTAAAATATAGGAAAAAGATATATTCGCTGGATTTTATTTGCACAGAATCATTCCGTCAGTGAAAATAAAGTATTTTACAGTACATGTATGTGACCAGTTTGATGTTTTTGATTTCAGATGCAAAAGAATGATCATTGTTGTATCACCAGATTTTCTTAATAGTGAACAGTGTGAATTTCAAGCCAAAGTAGCACTCTCTTTCTCGCCTGGTAAGTACATTGAAATGGTGGAGACAAGAAAAAAGTTCTGTTTCCTGTAATAGCCTAAAAAAATTAGTGTATATAGGGAGGATTTTCACTTTTATTTCAGTCTCTGTCTGTCTAGAGTCATATAATTCTTTCATTCTTTGCATGTGCCTAGTACTTTATGTTAGACATGTGCATGTGCAGTGGTTTAGTGATTTGATCCAAGACTGGCAGCCATTTTGTTTTTTTGAAAATGTGGTACCTTGAACATGTTTTGTCAGTTTTTGTTCAAATTCATTTCATACATTATACTATTAAGGAAGCATGTCCATGACAATTTGTTTCAAGATCGAATCATGTGGAAATATGGTACATACATTAAACATCTCAGAATACATACCCATGACAATTTGTTTTACAATCAGATCAAAGATGGCCAACTGCTGGCAATATACTACATCTTCAAAACTTATGTACCATTTTGATTTATATTTGGCACATACATCATACATATTGGAATACATATCCGTGTCAGTTTGTTTCATAATCAGATCAAAGATGATAGAATTGCAGCCATCTTGATTTTTGGTCATATTACTCTTAGACATGAATAACATTTCCCCTAATTGCAACAGGGACTGTTTCATTACCAATGACTTGTTTTTTTATATTTTACTTTTTTTCTTAAAATGAACTTATTGAATGAAGTTATTTCTACCACAATCATGCAATTTATATAAACTTGACTTCGAGATTAAGAATTTAGAAATATTACTAATTAACATAATAGTTGATTTCCTTGTGTCATAATGTGCTGTGTGTGCAGACGTTTGTGGCAGCAATCTATTCAGCAATTTACTATACTGTAAAAACCATTTATTTTCACTAACATTTATGTTTTAATATATATCCACTGTGTTTTAATTTCAAGAATTTGTCAAGGAAACCATAAGTTTTATTGTTATTTTACATGTTCATGTAGATTTAATTTAGCGGATTTTACAGCAAAAATAGTGGAATTAGAACCAATAATTAATGCATTTACAGTATACAATAAATGACTGACTGGTGGCCATATCGTTGTCCTTTATTTGTCCATATCGCACTCATGGCAGACTGCAATGCAATCTGGGAGGCTTTGTGTGTGTATGTCTGTCTGTTCATCTGTTCCACTTGTATCTCAAAAAGCACTCACCAAATTCCAATAAAAACTTGATACATAGATGCTTCGGGAAAATCTGAAAACTGATTAGTTTTTCGTTGAAATATTAATTATCTAATTTCCATAATAATTCAATTTTGATTTCCTTTTCCAGGTGCAAGAATGAAGCGCATTGTTCCAATATTACTAAAAGCATGTGAAATGCCACCAATTCTGAGGCATATTACGAAATGCGACTACACCAGACCTGACCTGCGAGAATGGTTCTGGCAGAGACTCTTTCGTTCTTTGAACCTACGATAGTTATTCACACGTGGAGGACTGTGGCAGTTCTAGATGCATACTCATTATTGTTGAGGAATACACAAAATACTCACCAAATAGAATCAAAATATCGAATATTATATATTTTTGTACTGTTTTAATTAGAAGATATTTGTTGAATGACTATCGAGATGTTGCTGATTCTACTTTTAGTGTAGGTTTTTGGTGAAAATGAGTGAAATATCAAAGGTTTGGAAATGCTTCTTCGTGTCAAATGCTTTACTACAAAGTGACCAACACTGACAAAGTTGTGATAGATTTGTAATTTTGCTCTTTGTGTTGAGATTTTTGCCCTGGGTCTTATAATAATTAGATAATCTATATGCATGTTTTTCAACATTAAACTAATGTCTGTGGATTATCCCAATGAACCAAATAAATTATGCAAATTTATCAATTATTATGCATAGATTTAGGTCTGTGTACTGTTCCAGGGTGCACATGTATCAAGTTTCATAATATGATGATTTATCCTAAAAAAAAAAGGTGCCAAGCTGACAGACTGCGAAATCCGTGGATTAAAAGTGCTAAGTCCAAATTGTGTGGGACGATATCGACGAACTTCAGGAATAAGTTGTAGGGATTTTGTTCGACGGCTACAGTGACGCCGACTTGGACTTTGAGGGTTTTGAGTTTGACGAAGATGGCAATGAACGTACAAATAAAGATCTGAGAAGTTTTTTTTCAAACAGCTATGAATTTTTATAATTTTTACTGTGTAAATTTGTAAGTTATTATTGATCTTGTATGACGGTTGATGCGTAATTTGTCGAGACCGGAAATCATTTTACGCAGTTTAACCCCTGACATTTTAATTAATTT